CAGATAAACAAGCTTAATGCTCTATAACACCTACACTGACAAAGCATGGTATGTTGACTTGTAATTTTTGTTATTACATCACAATAATAATGTTAATCACATCTTTCTTCACTGGCCATGTACTGGTTTCTAGTAAGAAAAGCATATAATAGCATTTTAATTACACACTTTGCATGTTACACACACACCTGCCAGTGATGCCTTTCACTTTTAAAATTGCTGGTGTGTTGAGTAAAAAGCCTCGTTGGTAAAAGTCAGTTTGCACTTGAAGTACTGTTGTACACACTTCTTATTGGATATCTGTATAGGATCAATAAGAAAAGATGTAAATAAAAGTATTCTCAGTTAAGTGATAGGTGGACAGACTGTTGATCTGGTATTTTTAAATGATGTGTAGTCAGAATTGGTTATCATTATGATATTATTTAATGTGTAGAGGTTTGTTGATCTGGTAGTGTTCTGGCATTTCTAAATTATTGGCAGACAAACTGTTGGTTGTTATCATAGCATTATGATATTTTTTAAGGGATACAGAGAGAAATAGCTGTTGATTTTTTAGTGTTTAAAGTAGACTGAAACTGTTGATCTGGTAGTGTTTTGGTAATTTTAAATAATAGGTGAACAAACTATTGGTTATTGTAGTGTTGTGGGGATTTTAGTGACTAAAGAGAGACACCTGTTGATCTGATAGTATTCTGGTAAATTTAAGTAACAGGTAACAAACTCTTGGTTATTATAGTGTTGTGGTGATTTTAGTAACTAAAGAGAGAGAGACACCTGTTGATCTGGTAGTATTCTGGTAATTTTAAATAACAGGTAAACAAACTATTGGTTATTGTAGTGTTGTGGTGATTTTTAGTAACTAAAGAGAGAGACACCTGTTGATCTGGTAATTTTAAATAACAGGTAAACAAACTCTTGGTTATTGTAGTGTTGTGGTTATTTTAGTAACTAAAGAGAGACACCTGTTGATCTGGTAGTGTTCTGGTAATTTCATATGATAGGTAGATATAATGCTGATGGCTATTTTCTTAGTCTTGATCATTTGCTGACATTTTTATGTTATTTGCCATTGCTACCATATGCAAAACTCTGTAACCTTGTGTATGTTTATAGATTATAGATTATTTTTTGAATGCAATATAGCAATATTTACTTCATAAAAATTTTTTATAGACATTTCAAAATATGACATACTTGAATAACTTGAAACTATATAATTAAATACAAATTATACCAGAGTTGAATCATGGCTGATAACTGTATGTCATTGCAAGTCTTCTTGGAATACTAAAAGTCTTCCTTCAAAAGTTTATTGATTAGCTATGTTAAAACAGAAGTGAGCCTCAATTCTTGCAAATAATGTGAGCTAATTCAACCACCGGTTCTTCATAGTTCTGCTAACTGTTGCTTAAAATGAAAAATCAAAACTTAATGTTAGTAGTATTTTTTAATATCTCTGTTTGCAATCTTCCTTTTAGGATTTATATTTTTACAAATGTTTTTCTCTTTGTGTGTTTGGTGTTTTATGATGAATCTTTAATATAAATGTGCGTGTGCAAAGAACTTTTATGTATTTAGTTTTTGTCAACAAAATTGAAACATGCCATCAATAAATATTCAAACTGTGTGTTTCATGTTTTCAGTGCTACACTTGTAAAAGTGAAGTGTCGTATTCAGCATCATCCATACATAAAACATTTTAACACTTGTAAAAGTGAAGTGTCACATGCATCATCATCTATACATAACACATTTTAACACATGTAAAAGTAAAGTGTCATATGCAGCATCATCTATACATAACACATTTTAACACGGTCTTTTTAGAATTATCTTTTGTAATAATTTTGTCTGATCTCATTAAAATGACCATAATGCATTTAGTTAGTTGTATAGTTTTGAACTCAACCCCATATATCCTTATATTTTCTTACACTTAGATTTCAACAGTATGAATTGTTGTATTATATAGGTTTTGAATTCAGTACCATGTAATATGTTTTTAGGCACCATATATTTTATGTCTGTATTGTCTAAATATTTCCATCAAGGGTACTATTTCTAATTCCATTTGTTTAAAATTATAGAATGCAAGTAACTCTTGTGTTACTAAATTAAAATTGTTTTCTAGCTGAACTTTGGCAGTTAATACAAAGGTGGTACTGGACTGTTCAGTAATATAGCTTGTACTCTTGTGTCCGTCACTGCAACTGTAAATAACAGTGACTGTCAGATACTACTATTCAGTCACAAAGAGTAACCCAAGAGATGGCAGTAGGTGTAGTTTACTAGCTTCCTTCCTCCTAGTGTTCAAAATTATCGGTGGTTAATTACAGCTTTGTACAAAAGTTCTGAAACAAGTTGCAACTAGGATGAAGTATCAAATCACTTAACACATTCTACTGGCTTTAACCATATCAGATTTGTACATGTTTCCTGTAACTAGAACAGTTGCAGGTTAATCAATAAATGTTGTGAGGAAGGGTAATGGCAAATCTGTAATTAGGGAGAGAAATGTCAGTCAGAATACCTGGTCAGTAAAAAATTGGAAGAACTGGTTTTTATAGCTATAAGATTATACAGCTTGTAGGTGATGGTTTATACATCAATTCAGAGTACTCAAATAGTAATTATAAAACTAGATACCACTTTGCAGAGGTGTGTGAATATACAGTGTGCTAATGCAGAAGAAACTATAAAAAAAGTTTTATTCAAAAGAGATGTTATGGTTAGAACATGCAGACACACATCTGTACAACTCTTTCAACCAATTCATTTTAACAAACTGTATTGTCTGTTAATAGTTTTATATATTAATCCTTTGTGAATAAATTTTTATATCACATTGTTGTGCACTAATTTAGAGTTACAACTTTTCTTCCTCACAACCAATGTTTTATTGGTTTTATTAATATTACTTTCACAAATAGAATGTTATTTCTTTGTTATACACGGTGTTTTCTTGTTCATACTAATGGTTATTTTCATGAATAGAATGTTATTTTTCTGTCATACTCACTGTTTTATTGTTCTTACTAATGAGTACATTCACAAATAGTATTGTTACACCAACAACTTAAAATGTCTTTGTAACGCATGACTTTCAAGTGTTAACTTTCTACACAAGTTTTACCTTCTTTTTTGTTTTTTATTTTTAAAACAATATTCAGCATTATGTTTCTTTGATTTAAAAGATGTCATTGTCGAGTGTGAGATCGAGTGGAAATTTATATTGCTAGAAATTATTTATCTAAAATTGTATTATTTGATATAAAATGTGCGCATTATTTATACTAACCACATTTGTGTTATATCTGTCTTGAACACATTCATCCTATTTCTTATGATTCTGTTACACGTTTACTTCATTTCCTTTAAATCTATAACACATTTGTTCTATTTCTCGTCTTTCTTCAACACATTGTCCCATGTCTTATGATTCTGTTACACGTTTACTCCATTTCCTTTAAATCTATAACAGATTTGTTCTATTTCTCGTCTTTCTTCAACACATTGTCCCATGTCTTATGATTCTGTGACACATTTACTCCTTTTTCTAGCATTATGTAACTTATTTTCTTCATTTCCTATGCGTATATAACTCTTGTGTACCTCAGCGCGAAAAACAAACAAACGAGCTATAATGTTTATAACAAATTTCCTGATATTCTTTTGCACATCTGTGCCATTTCCTGTCTTTCTACAGTACGTTTATTCTACTTCCTGTTGGGCTGGGTGTGACTGAGTAGTTAGCCTACTGGTACAGTTAATGCATATTATACGGTAAAGTTCCATTATTAGATATAAAAATAACGCAAAAGTTTACAGTGGGAGCTTTTCACTAGTAGCTTTCCCTTTAGACTTGTCAGTTCAAAATAAGGGACGTCTAACGCGTGTATCCCTTTGTGTACTTTGAGTGAAAATCCTGAAACAAACCGTTTTCCATCTTTCTATAACACTTGTTCCGTTTCCTGTTTCTTTATAACATATTTGTTTCTTATTTTTATACAAAATATTGTAGTGTTTCCTATTTTATCATAACTTAACTGTCCATATTATCTTTATAATACACAGTTTTCTGATGCTTTTTTTATAACTTACCTGATGTTTTTTTCTCATGTTGCTAGTTCAGTCATATCTTGTTTAATACTCAAAGTTATTTAATCTAGGGCTCTCATATAGGAGCCGAAAGATAGCTTTTCTTGATACCTTTATAAAGGTTGATAACCTTTATATGTGAAGTGCTTAAATAATTATATCTAGTAACTCTCTACCAAAATATTTTATTCGGTAAACCTAACTTATTTATCTCGGTTACTTCCAGTTAAGCAAGTGAAAATTTTGAGTGAATACAATATTCAGATATTCAAATCAGTGAACCTACTGTACGAGGTTATTTGACAATATTTCAGAAAGACTGTAAATCACCCAAAAAACCTAAATATTGAGAGACGCACAAAAAGCGCTGATATGTTTGCTAACTTAAAAGCAGCTGTAAAACTTTTTTGTTTTATAAATGATCATGGCAGTTAACAAATGATTTAATTGAAACAATAAATCAGTTGTTTTAGGTCAACATTATTGATACATTTTTGTTTATCATGGCATGTAGTTAGTTTTGTTTTTGTTTTTTGCCTATATGTTTCTTCTTTAGTAACAAAGTCTTAGTTTACTGTTTGAATAGTAGTGTCCATTGTTTGCCCTCTGGTGGTGGTTTATGTAACTGTTGAAACAGTTCGTTATCTGTCCACTTAGAATGTACACAAATATTATTTTTAATTGGACCTCAGATGAAATGTTTAAATGTAATATGTAGTTTCATGTGTGTGTGTTATGTGTAACAAGCTTCTACCATTAAGTAATATAAAAACCAGTAATATTAGACACGAAGACCAACGGAAAGAAAATTATTATACTCGACTAAATGGTGTCCACCAGAGGGCAGCTGTCTATGTTGCACTTTAGTTTAACACCCCTATTTGTTTCTTCTTTCCTAGACTGCCCACTTGGTGCATTTCACGTGACCTGTGTTTCCTGTACCCGTGCAGTGCAGTGGTGTGCTGTAACTTCTACTCCCTCTCCCACTTGACATGTACTCCACACCTCGTGGGGTTTCGTGAGTGTGAAGCCATTTTTTTTATTTTATCATTTCGAGAAGTGTCACCAGATGGCACTTTGGACGGGTGGTTGTCAAAGCAACGTCAGTGGAGACCCTAGCAGTTAGGCTTAATCTGATTGGAATACTTTATAGAAACTACTACCGTCCCCTTGTACAAAATTGATGTTGTGGTAATTGAGTTATCAGCCTAGATTCATACATAAATGTAAACTGGGGATTTTTGATTTTTTTTTTTGGTTTGTAGTGGCTTACAATATGTTTGTTTTGATTGTTTAAGTGGTGTTTTTGGAGCCCAATACTTGTAATGTTCTTTAATTTTAAGGTTTTTTTTTCTTCTTGTCCACTATATGTGGCAGCTGACGTAAGCATACATTATGTTTAATTCTCACTACGTTATGGCATTGTAGTTATGTCTAAGCACCAAAAGATTGTGGTGTTCTTTCTTTCTTTTATTTTAAATACTTGAATTAAACTTTTTTTAAGTATTCATATAAAATTTATAGTATATTTAGCACCCAAATTTGGAAAAATGCAGCGAATAACATCTTTTCCTGCTCAAAACAGCGAAAAAGAAGCCATGTGTTTACCACTTAATGAAGTGGTCGCTCAGTTGCTTTTCCGGCCAGGTAGATGTATTAGATTCAGTTTTGACAGATAACTAGAATAAAAATTAAATGAAGAACGAGAAAGAAATCTAATCTCTTGTTTAACTTCTTGTTGAAGTGTATAATAGGCAGTGAAAAAATGTATTCATATTTTAGGGATTGAAGCCTGGCTCAGGTTATTAGACAAACACAGTATTGCATCTTTTAAAAACGAGCTTAGAAAATGTGAAAAGATCTGTACACAAGTACTTGCACCAGTATTATACCACAAATATATATATATATATATACTAAACCTTCTTCACACTAGAGGACGCTTTATATGCAGCAGCAACCCATAGTACAGGGCGAAACTGTTGAAACGAACTCTGTATCTAGTCTACGTGTGTAAGGGGTTTCACAGACAGCGTATCTTGTGTCGTTGTTAACAAAACCAAAGACACAGTGTATCAAACACTTGCAGTGAGTTGACTGCCTTAAACGTGGTGTGATTATCCAGTTGTAACCTATTTTTGCTGTGACGTCACCAGTGTTTCCGGTTTGTTGTTTCTGGTTTGTGGATTCTTCATAGGTAAAACTGTTGTAGCAAATGTAGGTGTAGTTGTGCCCCGGTCAAAGTGTGGTCTTTGTAGTATGTGTTTCCATAGTAGTCGTTCTTGTGGCACGTAAACAGTGTTATCACGGTCAATTTGAATATTTTTCCATCAGAAAACTCTTCTTAGCCGTTGTACCCATGACGCCACCCATAAAACATTAAAAACCGAGAAAATTACATGTCATTTGACCATTGTCTATTTGTTTTGTTTTTTACTATATTATTCTCCACTTCAAACAGTTAAAGTTTATTAAAAGCTAACCATTTTTAAGAATTGATTGTTAAAGAGTAATATTTTAAGTTGCTTATTCTCGTCATATTGTACTCTTCAAGTACGTAATTGGAAAACAGCAGATTTTTACTAAATGTTGATAATTTCTTAGTATAGAAATTTCCTTGAAAATATGAAGGTAATCAGAGCTACGTTATGATGGAAGAGTCTGTAAATTAGATGACATAAAAATTGGGGGCGTCACGGATACAGCGGAAGGCAAAGATTAAAACGTTATTTGGTGTTCTTTAGTACCTGGTGAATATGATATATAAGTTATTATACCATGAGCAAGCTGTATATTAGAAGCTAATTTGTGTCGTTGAAATATAATGGCTCAAAAGATTCCACTATGTAATGACGTTGGTTGTCAGTAGGGGGCGCCTCTACCCATCCGTATTCACCAAATTTGTGTGCCAAAAACATAGGATGTTAACGACTTGTTTGTTTGAAGGAGGCCTACTTTGACCATGGACTATATTACGTTTATAATTTTCATCTGTTTGTTTTCTTGAAAGGGAGGTATGTTTTATGTTTTGTTATTTAACGTCTACATTGTCATTTTTACATACGTGAAAATCAAAATGATCTGGATTCACTTACGTAACGCATACTGGATATTACTGTCTCTTTCTTAGTATTGAGTTTTTAACCATCAGTTGTATGGTCAAATGCGGTAGGCTAATTTACATCAGCCTCTGCTGAACCTAGGTGATGCGGGTTTTATTTTCATAAACGGAAAGGTGCACGTCTTTATTTTATGTGAAACCACGCCATCTTTCGGCAGTATGTGCTACGTTTTATAAATATATATATATATATATCGAAAAATTCACGTAGAATTTTCTGGAAATTATTTTTCCCACACACTGTCTTCTTTTACTTGTTTGATTTCAAGAATCACCTTGAAATTTTGCAGAATATTTCTATAACATCTAACAGAGGGAAAAGTAATTATTTTTTATTGGGAAATATAAATTTTAGATTTAATGTCCTCTGAAGAAAAGTAAATTATCTAAATGAAGTAATTCAGTAAGCTGGTTGGTTATGGAAATTGTTGAGTTTAAAATGTAATAGTCATGATTGATTTTTACATAGTTATGTAGGATTTTTCAAATGGATTTTTTTCTTATCAAATTGTATGAAAGATATTGTACGGGAATTATTTTTAAATTGTTTTTTTCTACTAAGATATTTTTGGAATGAAAACGTTTATGGTATTAATTTTTTAGACTTAAGTTCTTCAAACGTTTTTGGATCAAAATACTTAAAATATTCAGTAACTTACAAAATAAGAACACATCTTGTGAATATTTAGTTATTTTTAGGTAAAAACTTAAAAATGAAACTGGGTGGAGTTTTTAACTACATTTTATATGTAAGAAGTTGTGCACAGGGAAAAAAAGAAACGTTATAGGAAATTTCGTTTTTGTTCCTGTAATGTTTGAAAAATGTAGACACTATTGTAGCCCGAAATAAGTACAGCATTCCAGTTGGCTGTTTAGAAAAGTTGGACAACCTTGGCATGTGTTGGTAAAACGAATAAGTTTATATATATATATATATATATATATATATATTATTTTCACATGTATTTGTGGCATTGTTTACCCGTCGGCCTCAGCAGAGGGTGTATTGTAACGTTCAGTGTTTGTTCAGAAGTTTTGACGGGATGTGACAGTGATAAGTTTGTAGCCATAGGATAAACCATTGGTATATTTTGCAAAAAAGATAAGAGGCTATCATTAACTAAACTTTACATATATTTGTCAAGTTGCAGTTCTTATGTTACCCGTGGCTTTATGGAAGCTGTTTTTGGGGTTTTGCGCACTAATAAATAAGGAGAGTTGAAAATACTCGTGTCAGTGTCTGAGTTTTTACTCTAAACTTTAAGAGATAGGAGTTTTTGTTTCATCTCATAATTATTACTGATCTCGTTGAAAATAGTAGCATTTAGTCATTATTTTATAACGAAATTTCACCTTTGGAATGAGTTCAATTATGATGTTATGTTAACAGAAGTTGACGATTAACTATCATTACTTCAACCACAATCTACAAAAAAAAATTGTCTAATGAGAAACAGTTGTCTTAAGTAATAGATCAGATAATCTATTTACAAAATGGCTGTTATACATTAATTCTAATTAGAAAATTTTAGAACATGATTTGTTTTAGGAAAGAGTAACAAAAGCATACAAATGTTATTTTGTTTATTATATTAATGACATGGACTTAAATGTGTAACGTTAATTAAATTTGAACCTCAGCACTAAGTAAGCCTGTTTGTCATGTATAACATAATGTTTGTATTTTCAACTTAATATTATACCATTCACTGTAGTCAGTTTAAAAAGCCCCCCAGTGGAACAATGGTATGTTTGCGGGCTTACAACGCAAGAAACCGGGTTGCGATACCCGTGGTGGGCATAGCACAGATAGCTTTGTACTTAACTACAAACAGTTAAAAAAGTCCAAAAATTTCTTCGCTGTGCCTAATTCGCAATACATCCTTATTTGTTTTAAAGGGGAAATTCAAGAAATAGTTATATTTTAAAATATTTTTTCTATTATTCTTCAATTATATTAAAAAGCTATATAAAAAAGAAGTGATTAGTTTGTTTGAAGAATTATAAGCCAAGAATCTGCAGTGGACGTAATGCAGATAGCCCATTGTGGGCTGAAAACAAACAGATTCTTTGAAAAACTATAATATAGTACACGGCACAAAAATTATGATGTAGAGATTATATAAGTGGACTGCTACAGCCTGTTAAATCTGTAGTTCTTGTTGGTTATCTCGAAACAGCAAGTTATCTGCGTAGGTCAACTTTTTGAATGAAAAGTTGTGTTAATCAAATAGACACACAGACTCGTAAGAGAGATTTGTAAGGCCGTGTGACTGGTATCGTCCAGTCACAGGACACAGGTCATGCTTCTTTAAAATGATATTTGAAAAGTTTCGTTCTCTTCATTATTAGAGACTGGATGAGACTGTCAAGTTTTATCTTTCAAATTTTTCAGAAGTTTGAAATTGAAGTTATCATTTTTAGTTCTAAATCTCAGGTTTTAGACTTTTTGTTGTACTCAAGTCGGTTAAGCTTTACATAGGAATTGCACAGGTCCTTGAAATCTTTAAAAGTGAAAGAAACTGAACCCTAAAACGTTCAAAACTGGAAATCCTTTTAAAATATTTATTTTTAATTCATTGTCCAAGAAAAGCCCTGAAATTTCTGTTTCAGCAAAAAGTTCCTAAGAAATAATCGGTTTTATTAAACAAAAATATTACTTATTGGAATTTTGTTTATATTTCGTGTCAACCATTGTGATTCTCGTGCCTCATGAGACCCAAATCTGGTGCAGTTTCCGCGAGAAATGTTCATTTGATGAACGAAAATACCAGGAATATTCGAATTTAATCCTGAATGTAAATAATTGAGGCCTGTAAATTTGAGTATTGATCCTGTAAAATTTGTATAAAGCCGGTATGAAGAAACAACATTAAGCATTAAACTTTTGCATTGAAAGTGAAAATGAAGATACATCAACAGGGGGCGAAGTCGTGGTAAAAAACGCCCATAAAACCGCAAAATGCAAAACTAAAAATTTGTATGTATCTTCCCATGGACCCTATGAAGGTTCATTGGGTCCATGGGAAGATACATACAAATTTGTCTGTCCAGGTACCTACTTCGCAGGGTGTGTGATGTTGCATCCACACCCTGCGAAGTAGGTACCTGGACAGACAACAGACATTTCTATCAGCCCCCCCCCCTAGTGACACAGCCGCATGTCTGCGGACTTATAACGCTAGGAACCGGGTTTCGATACCCATGGTGGGCAGAGCACAGATAGCCCATTGTATAGCTTTATGCTTAACTTCAAAACAAACAAACATTTCTATCATATTTATATAGATTTAGCATATGCAATTAGAACTGACAAGCTACAGAAAACAACAGAAATAAATTAAATTGTACTAGATACAAATAGCATTTAGATTTATCCTAAAATTAGCAGAAATTAAATATATAAACAAACGACATAAAACTAAACAAAATGATAGCTTCGATATATAGGTGAATAAAAATAAAGGTTTTATAACACGTGAAAATGATAAAGATCCGGAGAAACGTGGGATTGGTTGGTTGTTTTCAGAGTAAAGCCACATTTGGATATTTGCGAGGATCGAACCTCGGATTTTAGCGTTGTAATTATGTAAAGTTACCGTTGTCCCACCGGAGGACGTGCGATTGGTAACCCCATAAACTTCCGAAAAGTTTTAGATGTAAATTTGACAATAATGAATAAATGTTTATGATACTGATGACCTAAACATTTAATAGATCACTATTACAGTCATATTTCTCCTAAATGTTCACCAGAATATCAAATGTATGGAAATTAATCAAATATATATCAAACCAAATTATAGTAATAAACATTTACTTAATATTGTGAATAAAAATTTTATTGAATGAAGATTGAAACATTTATTTAAATAATGGAATTGAAATTTTGGATTTTTTTTGAAAGAAGTACAGATGTGAACAGTGATTATGCTACTTATAATACTTAAGTAACATTAAAAAACATGAGTAAAATTATATATATATAATAAAAAATTCAAGATGATTTTAATGAAATTTTATAATGCTAATTTAGATATTATGATTTTACTATCGCTAATTGCGAAGGGCCAGTACATAGCGTTAAGTACGTTCTATCAAAACGATTATGAATATTCAAATCCCATGACAAACAACCAATATAAAGTCTAGGTAGAACAACATGCATCAGAAGTACATTTTTTTACATTGATTGGCGTTAATAGGTAGTGTGATTCCACCGAAAATTTATTGTATTTGAATAAACTTGAATCATTAATGTGTGTTCAACTTGAGGATTTCCTTTACATCTAATGGCATTGGAAAACAAAGGAATATGGAAAAACCCGAGGACCATCCAGATGGAGACCTGCAAGAAGTCTTAACTCAATTGTGGTAGCAAAGTGTGGTGTCTTGTAACAAATGAGAATCTAAAAGAATTACATCATTACCTGACCTTTAATATAGGGCATCTTTAATCGGTTTTTCACTAGTATAAGTGTTACAAGGCACAACGTAACTAAAGTGTTGTACACACTGAATGTTATGTATTAGAATAAATTAATTGGGTGAAATTGTCGAGACAGTAGAAATGTCAGACAAACAAGAATGAAGTTTCTAACCTACACAGAATTTACTTCACCTAGTTGACAAATTATGATTCTAGATCTGGAAAACAGAAAAAAACGGGGTTTGCAATAGTCTTTTACGAACCTATTATGTATACACAAACGTAGTTCTGCCTATGAAACTTGTTGAATAATACATTCATGTCATAGTCGCATCAAAGAAGACATGGAAATGGTTTACTTTTCATCTTTTGGTCCTACTTTTGTTGTTACTGAAGAGGTAATTTAGAGTACGTTACTCTGTTGAACTGAAGGCTGGCATATGTATTATAAAAGTAATGATCACAATGGATTTCAACGTGTTGATTTTTTTAGACAAAGTTTTTTGTTTATTTTTTTGCACATGTGTAATGTTCAGTCTCCAAATTACTAAAATGATAACTTACTGTACACAGAGTGATCACAAGTAAATAGACACCACCTTTTCAGAAAAAATGAACA